GGCTTTCCGAAGTGAATGTGATTAAAGATGAAGTGACAGAAGTTAGAGAAAAAGTTATTGTAGGTGAGATATTTAGTGCTGATGTAAGACTTAACGATGGTTTTGTGTCTTCTACTGTAGATTCAATTGCACTAAGTTGTGTCGACATAGATTCAGTTGCGGACTTCACAGTTGTTACAGTAATGCTAGTTTCCAACTGTGATACTGATATATTAGGAGGGCTTTCCGAAGTGAATGTGATTAAAGGTGAAGTGACAGAGGTTAGAGAAGAAGTTATTGTAGGTGAGACATTTAGTGCTGATGTAACACCTGACGATGATTTTGTTTCTTCTACTGTAGATTCAATTGCACTAAGTTCTCTCGACATAGATTGAGTTGCGGACTTCACAGTAGTTACAGTAATGCTAGTTTCCAACTGTGATACTGATATATTAGGAGGACTTTCCGAAGTGAATGTGATTAAAGGTGAAGTGACCAACCGAAACTTAGGATACAAGAGTTTATTTGGTCGGTGAGCACGTTTAGTGCTGATGTAACACCTGACGATGATTTTGTTTCTTCTACTGTAGATAATTCAATTGCACTAAGTTGTATAGACATAGATTCAGTTGTGGACTTCACAGTAGTTACAGTAATGCTGGTTTCCAACTGTGATACTGATATATTAGGAGGACTTTCCGAAGTGAATGTGATTAAAGGTGAAGTGACAGAGGTTAGAGAAGAAGTTATTGTAGGTGAGATATTTAGTGCTGATGTAACACTTGACGATGATTTTTTGTCTTCTACTGTAGATAATTCAATTGCACTAAGTTGTATAGACATAGATTCAGTTGTGGACTTCACAGTAGTTACAGTAATGCTGGTTTCCAACTGTGATACCGATATACTAGAAGGGCTTTCCGAAGTGAATGTGATTAAAGATGAAGTGACAGAAGTTAGAGAAAAAGTTATTGTAGGTGAGATATTTAGTGCTGATGTAAGACTTAACGATGATTTTGTTTCTTCTACGGTAGATTCAATTGCACTAAGTTCTCTCGACATAGATTGAGTTGCGGACTTCACAGTAGTTACAGTAATGCTAGTTTCCAACTGTGATACTAATATATTAGGAGGACTTTCCGAAGTGAATGTGATTAAATGTGAAGTGACAGAGGTTAGAGAAGAAGTTATTGTAGGTGAGATATTTAGTGCTGATGTAACACTTGACGATGATTTTTTGTCTTCTACTGTAGATTCAATTGCACTAAGTTGTGTCGACATAGATTCAGTTGTGGATTTCATAGTAGTTATAGTCATGTTAGCTTCCAACTGTGATACCGATATACTAGTAGGACTTTCCGAAGAGAATGTGATTAAAGGTGAAGTGACAGAAGTTAGAAAAGAAGTTATTGTAGGTGAGACGTTTAGTGCTGATGTAACACCTGACGATGATTTTGTTTCTTCTACTGTAGATAATTCAATTGCACTAAGTTGTGTCGACATAGATTCAGTTGTGGACTTCACAGTAGTTACAGTAATGCTGGTTTCCAACTGTGATACCGATATACTAGAAGGGCTTTCCGAAGTGAATGTGATTAAAGATGAAGTGACAGAAGTTAGAGAAAAAGTTATTGTAGGTGAGATATTTAGTGCTGATGTAAGACTTAACGATGATTTTGTTTCTTCTACGGTAGATTCAATTGCACTAAGTTCTCTCGACATAGATTGAGTTGCGGACTTCACAGTAGTTACAGTAATGCTAGTTTCCAACTGTGATACTGATATATTAGGAGGACTTTCCGAAGTGAATGTGATTAAAGGTGAAGTGACAGAACTTAGAAAAGAAGTTATTGTAGGTGAGACGTTTAGTGCTGATGTAACACCTGACGATGATTTTGTTTCTTCTACTGTAGATAATTCAATTGCACTAAGTTGTATAGACATAGATTCAGTTGTGGACTTCACAGTAGTTACAGTAATGCTGGTTTCCAACTGTGATACCGATATACTAGAAGGGCTTTCCGAAGTGAATGTGATTAAAGATGAAGTGACAGAAGTTAGAGAAAAAGTTATTGTAGGTGAGATATTTAGTGCTGATGTAAGACTTAACGATGATTTTGTTTCTTCTACGGTAGATTCAATTGCACTAAGTTCTCTCGACATAGATTGAGTTGTGGACTTCACAGTAGTTACAGTAATGCTGGTTTCCAACTGTGATACTAATATATTAGGAGGACTTTCCGAAGTGAATGTGATTAAATGTGAAGTGACAGAGGTTAGAGAAGAAGTTATTGTAGGTGAGATATTTAGTGCTGATGTAACACTTGACGATGATTTTTTGTCTTCTACTGTAGATTCAATTGCACTAAGTTGTGTCGACATAGATTCAGTTGTGGATTTCATAGTAGTTATAGTCATGTTAGCTTCCAACTGTGATACCGATATACTAGTAGGACTTTCCGAAGAGAATGTGATTAAAGGTGAAGTGACAGAAGTTAGAAAAGAAGTTATTATAGGTGAGACGTTTAGTGCTGATGTAACACCTGACGATGATTTTGTTTCTTCTACTGAAGATTCAACTGCACTAAGTTGTGTCGACATGGACTCATTTACGGACTTCATAGAAGTTACAACAATGCTGGTTTCTAATTGTGAAGTTAGGAAAGAAGTTATTGTAGGTGAGATATGTGGTGGTGATGTAACACTTAACGATGATATTGTTTCTTCTACGGTAAGAACTTCATCTGCGCTAACTGGTTTGAGTACAGATTCAGTTGCGGACTTCATAGTAGTTACAGTCATGTTAGCTTCCAACTGTGATACCGATATACTAGTAGGACTTTCCGAAGAGAATGTGATTAAAGGTGAAGTGACAGAAGTTAGAAAAGAAGTTATTGTAGGTGAGACGTTTAGTGCTGATGTAACACCTGACGATGATTTTGTTTCTTCTACTGAAGATTCAATTGCACTAAGTTGTGTCGACATAGATTCAGTTGCGGACTTTACAGTAGTTACACTAATGCTGGTTTCCAACTGTGATATGGATATATTAGGAGGACTTTCCGAAGTGAATGTGATTAAAGGTGAAGTGACAGAAGTTAGAGAAGAAGTTATTGTAGGTGAGATATTTAGTGCTGATGTAACACTTGACGATGATTTTTTGTCTTCTACTGTAGATTCAATTGCACTAAGTTGTGTCGACATAGATTCAGTTGTGGATTTCATAGTAGTTATAGTCATGTTAGCTTCCAACTGTGATACCGATATACTAGTAGGACTTTCCGAAGAGAATGTGATTAAAGGTGAAGTGACAGAAGTTAGAAAAGAAGTTATTGTAGGTGAGACGTTTAGTGCTGATGTAACACCTGACGATGATTTTGTTTCTTCTACTGAAGATGCAATTGCACTAAGTTGTGTCGACATAGATTCAGTTGCGGACTTTACAGTAGTTACACTAATGCTGGTTTCCAACTGTGATATGGATATATTAGGAGGACTTTCCGAAGTGAATGTGATTAAAGGTGAAGTGACAGAAGTTACAAAAGAAGTTATTGTAGGTGAGACGTTTAGTGCTGATGTAACACCTGACGATGATTTTGTTTCTTCTACTGAAGATTCAACTGCACTAAGTTGTGTCGACATGGACTCATTTACGGACTTCATAGAAGTTACAACAATGCTGGTTTCTAATTGTGAAGTTAGGAAAGAAGTTATTGTAGGTGAGATATGTGGTGGTGATGTAACACTTAACGATGATATTGTTTCTTCTACGGTAAGAACTTCATCTGCGCTAACTGGTTTGAGTACAGATTCAGTTGCGGACTTCATAGTAGTTACAGTCATGTTAGCTTCCAACTGTGATACCGATATACTAGTAGGACTTTCCGAAGTGAATGTGATTAAAGGTGAAGTGACAGAAGTTAGAAAATAAATTAGTGTATGTGAGATATTTAGTGCTGATGTAGCACTTAACGATGATTTTGTTTCTTCTACTGTAGATAATTCAATTGCACTAAGTTGTGTCGACATAGATTCAGTTGTGGACTTCATAGTAGTTACACTAATGCTGGTTTCCAACTGTGATGTTAGGAAAGAAGTTATTGTAGGTGAGATATGTGGTGGTGATGTAACAATTAACAATGATTTTGTTTCTTCTACGGTAAGAAATTGATCTGCGCTAACTGTTTTGAGTACAGATTCAGTAACGAGCTTCATAGTAGTTACAGTAATGCTAGTTTCCAACAGTGATACCGATATACTAGGAGGACTTTCAGAAGTGAATGTGATTAAAGATAAAGTCACGGAGGTTAGAAAAGAAGTTATTGTAGGTGAGATCTTTAGTGGTGATGTAGATTCAATTGCACTAAGTTCTGTCGACATAGATTCAGTTGCGGACTTTATAGTAGTTACAATAATGTTGATTTTAAACTGTGATACTGATATATTAGGATGGGTTTCGGAAGTAAATGTAATGAAAGATGAAGTGACGGCAGTCAGGAAGGTAGTTATTGTGGGTAATATGTCCGGTGATGGTGTTGTAACAAGTGAAGTTCTTTCTTCTTCAACAGTAGTTGACACAAACGAACTAAGTATTTTTAGTAAAGTCTCAGTTGCAGGTTTCGTAGTAGTTACATGAAACGTAGGTAATGGTGTAGTGCAGGGTGATGTTTTTGTTTCGGAGATCGGAGATAATAGAATAATTTTAGTTAGAGTTGTCAAATTTAGCATCCTTGTTAGGCGTTTTGTTTCCATAACAATTTCAAAGTCCAGCGCACCCGTTTCTTTCTCTTCCTCTACCGATGTAATAGTTGATGGTGATATTACTGAAGTCAAGAACGAAGTCACTGCAATTGTAATATCCGGTGGTGATGTGGTGCTTGAAGGTGTTGTTGTTTCTTTTTCTTTGATAGATAAGGTTATGCTATGTGTACTTGACCAAAGAAAAGGTCTTCTTGTAAACTGTACAGCCTTTGTGAAGCTTTTTGTTTCTTTAACTTCAAATTCCAGCACTCCCTTTTTTTCTGTTTCTGTATTAGTTGATGTAAGTGTTTCAGTTGTTTTCACGGAAAACGGTGAGGTTGTTTTAGTCGAACTTCTTGCACTTTTTTTAGACGATCTTCTGAATGTAGATTTTTTTGAAGATTTATGTACAGGTGTTTGAATTTTGGTTGTTGATGTTTCGTTTTGCGTAGGCTTATCCGGTTTTTCTTTACGCCATTTCCGTGTTATTTTATGTATTATTTCTATTAAGTTGCCCAACAATTTTATAGGAGTTTGCGGCATATTTTTAGGAACCATCAACTCTACTTTACCTATTTCATCTACATATTCACTTAAAAATTGTTGATTTTGAAGATATGTTCCTTTAGTCAATGATACATTTGTACTTAAACTCCAAATATTGATTAGTAAGAAAAATATTGAATAATTTTTCATTTTGTTGCAGAAAATATCAGATTCTACTAATTATGAGTACCTTTTGAAATCAAGTTATTTTTCCATATATATTCATATATGTTTTTATGAAATTTAATTATTTGACATTCCAAAATTTACAGCTTTTGGATGAAATGTTTATAAAATATTTTTTGTTTATATGTGCACTATGATTTTTTATTAAAAAAACTTTAGATATTAAGTTAATATATATAGTTGTTTAAAAATTAATTCTTTGATCTAGCAGTATTATCCTCCATTTATGACAAAGTCATGATTTCATTCATTGTTTTTTAAACTGTAGTTATACTTTCTATTGAAAAGAAATTTTAAACTGTTGAAGTCAAAATTTAAATGATACTATATATGAGTATAATTTATAAGTTAATTTTATATGTATATGCACACAATTACAAAAACTTAAAGCAAACATTATAAGCACTGATAACCAGTTAACTCTGGATGAAGCATTCGTAGTGTCAGAATATTTTAATATTAATGGATTGGTTAAAAATGTTTTCAATCAGCGTACCTGAAATCTGTAATTAATTAAAATCGCGATTATACTGAAGTTTTGCAGAAGTAATATAATAAGTAACATTGCTTCAATCAAAGTCAAGTTTTGAGTATAAAAAATTAACAACTTTTTAATGAACTATAGTTTATTCTTTTGCGCAATATTTCCACTATTGTTTATGTTGTAGATATTTAGAGTCCTTCCTCAACAACATATAAATCTGTTAAAAGTTACGCCCGAAACACGATGATAAGAAGCAGTTTTACATCAAACTATTGTTTACATGTTTTATATAATGTTAATAGATGATAACATATTTTTTTAATTAATTTATGTTAATGATGTATGATTAATATAAATTAAAATGATATTTTTAAACGGATATCTGATGTATGAATAATATCAATAAACATAATAAAATACATTAATCAAATGTTAGAAATGAGCAGAGTTTCGAATCCGAATTTGGAAATCGTTTTCTAGAATGTTATCGGTTTTCAGTTCAATCTAGAGCGAATTCATTTTACGTATATGTATAAAATAGTATTTTTTCATGTTCAAATTTTTTTTATTCATTCTTTCAGAAAAACATGGTTAACGAATTAATTTAACAAAAAAACACACTTCTACTTTATTGTATGTTCTTGAATATTTTATTATCTTTAATATGAGAGGAACGCACAAGAATCAATATGAATCGAAGGGTTCGGTGCTAGATAGAGCCAAACCCCTGCATTTTTTGTTGATCGGTTCTGGGTTTCTTTCTGAAATATTAGCCATAATTTTTTTTTTTGAGTTGTAAAAAAACAACATTAAAACTGGTTGAAACAAATTGGCATCACTTTTAAAATATTTCAAATGCTTGTTTTTGATATATGTTTTTTGTTTCGAAAAAAAAAGAAATCAAAATGAATATTAGAATGACAATCGTAAGCATTTTTATCTTGTACATATATTTAAATTAATTAATTTATTTACGTATTGGAACTTATTCTGAAATGAAATGCTTATATGATTTTAACGGATGACTGAAATTTTGCAACATATTTCCAGCGAACATTCAAAATAGACTGATTTTTCAATTTGGCTGCACTGAAACTTAAGACGTAAAATATTTTGCGAGTAAGACCAAACTTTGAAGATTTTTAGAACATTGTTATTGCTTCACATATTTTCTTTCGTAAGTGTCGAGTATTTTTTTTGCTACTCTGATAGAAAAAATTATCAAAAAAAAAAATAACAATAACTTTTTTCATTATTTTGAAGGGTTTCAAAAAATTTATTATATTCTTTTGAGTAATTAGTGACTAACAATAAGTAATTAAATAATAGAATTTTGTATATGGGAAAATGGCTATTTTCAATGTCATATAATAGCCAATGTTACTATCAATTAAAAGGAATGCCTATGAGATCCACCATCTTACCAATCATTGCCGATATTCATTGTCATATTAACTATTTATTATGTGCACATATGCAAGATTTGATGTTTGCAAAACAGATTGTAACAGTGATGCCAATGTTTCGCTCAGCAAATATAGGCCAGCATGCGTTTTTTGCCACACTTGCGAACCACCGAAAACGCCTAATATTAAAATAAAATTGTGTTGGTTCTAAAAAACATATTCTTCAGGAAAACTTATAATTTATATTCCAAACATGGTATGGTCATAATTACAGAAAAAATTTCATAAACGAAAAGAAAACCTTAATTATAGTTGCAATTGAGAGATGAAAGTTATTCATTATTTGAGTGATAAAAATTGAAAATTGACATCAGAAATGTGTAATGCAAATTTCTAAATGACACTTATTAATGGGATTCACACATCCCATTAAAAAATATGGTGTATTTGAAATTGATATGGAGATATTGGTATATGATATTAATATTGGTATATGGGTCATTCTTTTACAACTCGGTCACCTTTTTGACCCCATGATCTCCGATTTGACTGAAATTTTTTTTATGAGCTCCTTTCATAAAATAAAAAGACTCGTATCTCGGGAAAAAATTTTGTGATTTTTTTTCTAGGAGATATAGACCCATGGGATTTTAAGAACTGGCATAGTAGACACATTTTCAAATGGCTATATCTCAAGTTCTATAAGAGGTAGAAACTTGAAATTTACAGCGTTTCAAAGATAATTGATTGATTACCAAATTTTTATGTAGAATTTAATGATAAACTCAATTCAGGAATAAAAAGTAAAAGTTTTTGTATAGTTTTCCTTCGAAAATTGATTTTATGGTACTATGGTGCGTATGAGTAACGTGAAGGACACCTGATTAATTAATTTTTTTTAATTACTTCTAAAATGAATATCACAGTCGAAATATTTATTTTTGAAGTAGAATTTATATATTAATTTGAATCAAAACTAAAAAAAAAAATTTTTGTGACATATGCCTTTTTTTTTTTTTACTGAAAAATCGTGTGTATGTGTTTGGTGTGATATGAAGGATAAATACATTTTTAAAAGTACTTCTAATTACAATATTGTCCTGAAATTTTTGGGTTTTATGTAGAATTTTATTACTAATCGAAATCAAAAATATTATATAAGAATATATGTAGTATATTCTTTGAAAATTCATTCAATGAAAATGTAATACGCATGTGCTTGATGTGTTTTGCGGGAGAAAAAATTTTGAAAACTTTTATATCATATATAATGGTAAAAACAGTAAAAAATAGTTTTGAAATTTTTAAAATCATTTCCATTTAAATTAGTATACTATTTGAATATATAAAACGCCATGGAAACTTTGTTAAATGACTAAAATACTTCTTTTTTCAAAACATTTGAAATCTAATATTGTTTCATATATATACTCATAAATGTAGATGTAATATTACAAGTTTATTTATTTCGGTTCCAAATTTTTTATATAAAAAATTAAACACCTAAGACGTTCGAATGCATGCGTTAAATACACATAAATATGTATAACAAACGACAAACTTAGTATAAGGTCTTGATCACAATATGGATTGAAAGATTTATCAACAAATAGCGTAGTTATACGCTATTATTTATATTTTTTTTAACGTATAGGACCTTTCAATCCAGAATGGATTCCGAATTATATTTGAGATATTTTATTCCTGCAGGCATACCACCATGATAGACAAAGTATATCTTACTTTATAAATCTACGACAATTCTTTAATACAAATATAAGATCGCGTCTTCGGGAAGCCGGCGACAAGGATATACAATTATTAATACTATTTGACAGTACCCAAAAACAAATAAAAACCGATGAAATTATTGATTTCAGATAATTAAAATAATATATTATACAGGGTTTTATAAACAATGATCACTAAAATTTTATTACAAGTATGAAATAATCAGCAAATATTTAAATCAGCATAATATTGACCAAAAGTGAAACGCCTCAGTTTCATGACGTTATACTCTCTCCACAAACTTTATAAACATTTCTCATATTTTAGTTCCTCTTCAACACTTAACAAATGCCAGTAACGAAGGACTAACAGTAACAATTTGAAAAGTAGATATTGTATATGGAGTATACATGCATAGCAGACAATGCTCGTATATCTATTGTACTAGTTTTACCAAAAGTGAAACTCCATTGTCATGGGTGTCAGCTGGGTAATGGTACAGTTTTCACAGACGCTAACAGGAACTCGCATCACAGTCACTAACTGCCTTATAACTT